GGGAGGGATCGGAAGACCGCGCGGCGAATGATTTTGTGATCGTCCATAGCCCGTTGCAGGCCGATGGCCGCTGCGACGTGGGCGACTGCTTGGAAAAGCTCTACTCAATGGGCTTCAGGAGTCTCATGGTCGAGGTCGGTTCAGACCTTTTTTCGGGCCGCTGTGCTAGCCTCTGTTGACTCGAGTGTAGTTCTACACATGTATGCCTGCAGATCCCGCTCCCCGAACTATCCACGATAGAATAAGGTTGTTTGTGTTGTCTATCTAGACTTCAACCTGATACCTCAGGATGTCTTGGGGGTGACGTCTACGTGTTTTGGGCTTGACCTCAACGCTCAGACGTTTCGAGTGTTAGCTTTCTGCGGTCCGTCAAACGCGCCGTACTTCCATCACATGCCGTTCGAAACCGCCCGACGTATGTAGGGGGGGGCTACCGTAATCTCGTCGTTTTTGCGAGGCTGCGGAGAACAGACGGGCAGAGAAGAGGAGGGCGGCGGCAACCCCGACGGTCAGCTCGTGGACCGCGTCGTGGTAACGATCGCACCGACGTTTCTTCAAGGCTACAACGTCTTGGCCACGGAGGGGAACGCTTGCGGCGCACGAACGACCAGCCCCGGCTCAGGTAGGCCGACCGGGAGATAAACTCGTAGCTACCGGCCTACCCCCAATAGGTTGCTCACGCCATATGTAGCCGCACCGAACACACCTAGTCCACATTCATTCGCGCGGGAGGTGTAATTGGAACTCCTTTGTCTGTACCACCTGGGCTCTTGAACCAAACTTCGGTAGGCGTCAGGCTTCTTCCCTCAAGTACACTATTATCCACAACTCAGGCGCTTGACAACTGGGGAGGCTCCCAGCACGGCCCGTATCGTTTTGGATGATGACTGGTGCACTTGTTAGGAATCGTAAACACGAAAACAACGCTTTGCCACAAGTAGCGTGACCTCCAAGGTATGAGTCAGGAGGTCAGGTCGGTGGTTCAGCAGCCAAAACAGCAACCTTCTGTATTTTCCCCTTTTGTTTCTGTTCCGCATCTGATGGACGCCTGTGGGTGCCATCGCCTTCAGGTTTCCCCTTGCCTCTGCTGGACGTGGGCTTCGTGCGGCTGGGGCAAGATCTAGTTGTAGTTGGAGCGCCCGCGTGCTGCCAGGGTGCCGGGTAGTGTCGTTGATTGGTTCTTGTGCTTGTTCTGTACAAATACGTTAGGCCTAGGCAGCAAGTATATTTGCCGAGCTCTGGGGTAGCCGGTCTGTACAAAGACGGGGGGGGGGGGG